CCATAGCAGGTGTTTGACATAATCTAGTTTTTAAATCAGTTGACACTACGTTATGACTGTTATTATGTGTGTCTCTAAACACTTCCTTGACCTAGAAAGGGATCTTTATCCATGAAAGAGATTGGTGATCACTTTTACCCTGGTCTACCGTGGCTTGGTTCTAGTCATGAACATAAAACCATAAATAAACTTGGAAAAATGAGAACAAAAGTAAAGCTTGGAAAAAAGAGAGTAAAAGTAAAATAAAAACAGAAGTCTAAAGAGAAACTCCAGGAAAAGCAAAAAAGATGTGTACAAGGGAGAAACTGGAACCCGAGGACACCACTTGTCTTGGCAGTGGTACCATCATTACAGCATCAATACTGTTTACTGACCTTCAGTTTTTTAGAATTGACCACTAGAAAAAGCACAGAAGATAGTTTTAAGACATTTCAATGTCCTAAATATGATGGTTGGTAACCTTTATAGTGGAGAAGTAAAGGAGTGCATGAGCGGCATGGCTATGGGAAGCCCATTTGAGAAGCAACCCTGTGGTCAACTGGGACCCATGGAGGCTTTATGTGGGTCAGAGCTGCATCCCAGGAGGCTCGTTCCAGGTTGGGTGAAGGACAGTTGGAGCTGGACAAGAGTGGAAGCCAGGAGAACCTTTAGGCCAGTACAGTCACTGTCCCCATGCATGAGGAATGGTTTGCAGTTGGGTGACGATGGAGATAGGGAGAAAGATGAAGTCGACAGGATTAGATCCTCCTGCACCACTGAACTTCTCCTTGTCCTTAGTTGTCAAGTCAGCCACTGCTTCCTCAGGGGAGCTTCCCTCACCTTCCCAACAGGGATGACTCTCCTGTTACAAAGCTTCCCAGAACCACCCTTCTCAACACTTATCCCCAGCTGAGGCTAAGAATAAATTTATGTGGTTATTTAATTACACCCACTAATGCTGGATTATTTGACTGCAGCCATGGAGTGTCAAGGTCCCCCGAAGCAGGGACTGTGAGTCTTATTTATGGCTGTCTCCAGCCAAGGGCCTGGTACAGAGGAGATACTCAGTGGGCATTTGTTGAAACAGAGTTTGGAATTTACTGAAGTTTCCTCTGTGGCCTCATTTCCTTTAAGTTCCATGTGTGACCAAAAGGAATTTGCCTGTTGGGTATAATATTCTTTATGAACCCAAGTTAAATAACTGTGGCATTCCAATCTTCTAGATTTTTGCTCATTGTTCACCTTCTTGACCAGTCAGTTTCTGACAAGAGTGCATTCAAATTTCAAACTACACTTTCTGATTTTTAAAATTTCTCCCCATGGTGCTCTCAATCATTACCCACACACATACACTTACAGTTATATATAATACATATAATAAAAAAGAAAGAAAAAAAAATCTACCCACACACATACACTTACAGTTATATATAATACATATAATAAAAAAGAAAGAAAAAAAAGAAAAAAAAACCAAACAAAATAATATATGTAATATATGGGTGCATATCTGTAATTTATATATTATTAAGTTTTATATTTGCCTACAATCCTTAAATCTTTTGATTAGGGTGTTTTGGCCATTTACATTTATTTTAGTTACTGGTATGTTAGGACTTATGTATGTTTTATTTCATTTTTTTCTTGTTACCCATATTTTCTTTTTCTCCCCTTTTCCTGAATGAATTTTCTTTTTCTAGCCCAAGTAATAAATTTTAATTTTCTCTATTAATTTTATTAGTTTCTTAAAATATTAGGTATCTGTCTCTCCACTTCCCCCTCTCCCAAGTAAGTACTCAGCATCCTCTCAGATCCCTCTGGTCTCTCTCTCCAGTTCATTCCCACCCCCATCAACAAAGCTGGTATCATTCTAGAGCTTTACTTTTATAACATTGTGGCCTAGAAATATGTTCAAAGCTTCATGAGTTATTTCTCAGATTTCTCATAAAGCACACTCACTTTTTAGTAGGTTTTTCTGAAGTCAATGCGGACATATTTAGGTGCATGAAAGCTGCTCAGTATAAACAGCTATTGAACCAACACCTCACTTTGAACACTGGTCACTAGAGGAAAAGAACAGGCACGGAGGCTGCCTTTTAGCTGGAGCTCACCTCAGGGCCACCAAACAGCCTGGCTGGTGTGAGAGCTCCCCCTGACAGCAGAGTGCCAGCAAATGACATCAGCTGGGTGGCTGAATTAAGGAAGTCACCCTTCCCTATGCCCTCATGAAATTCTTGCTGATGGCAAGGATGATCAACTGAGGTTAACAGCGTGAGACATGTGGTGGATTGGGAACCCCCAAAGTAAGCCCACGTGGATAACTCTCTCCTCACAAGGAGAAAAATATAACTGTGTGATAGAGCATTGGACTGTCATCACCCTCACCCAGTGGCCAATTTTGGCATCACTGACAGTGTATCAAAGAGGTATGAAATGTCTTTTGGTATGATTTAATGTAAAGTACACTGTATCACTTAAATGTGTTATGACCAAAAGATGTAGGTGAATAACAAATGCTGGCGAGGATGCAGAGAAAGGGGAACTCTCATACACTGTTAGGGGGACTGTAAAATGGTGCAGCATTACAGAAAATGGTATGGAGATTACTTCACAACTACAGACAGAACTTCCATATGACCCAGCTATCCCACTGCTGGGTATATACCCAAAGAAATGGAAATCATTATGTCGAAGGGATACCTGTATTCCCATGTTTATTGCAGCACTATTTACAATAGCCAAGAGTTGGAACCAGCCTAAATGCCCATCATCAGACGAGTAGATACGGAAAATGTGGTATATCTACACAATGGAATACTACTCTGCTATAAAAAGGAATGAAATACTGCCATTTGCAACAACATGGATGGACTTAGAGAAAATTATTAAGTGAAATAAGCCAGGCACGGAAAGAGAAACATCACATGTTCTCACTTATATGTCAGAGCTAATAAAGATAAATAAATAAACAAATAGGAAAAAAAAAAGACACAACAATCACAATAATTCCTTGAATATGTTAAAAGAACAGATATGATGTTGATGGGGAAGGGGGAAAGGGAGGAATTGGTAAAGGGCGACAAAAATCAACTACATTGTATAATGATAGATAAAAAAAAAAGGAAAGGTCTGGAACCCATGGGATTTAAGTGAAGGACAGAATTTATTTCAAAGTTCCGCACAGAATAGTTTGAAATTAAGAGATGTATTTAATTGTATCTATGTTTCCATAAGTCTGTGCGATAAGCCTACATACCTTGCACTTAAGTTCCACATGGAAGGAAAGATGGAAATGACCCATTTCACTGGAACTCAGTCCCTATACTCCCTTTTTGACACCAAGTAAGAATATCCAACTAGTGCTAGGGCTCAGAGTGAAGATTTCTCTATTAACACCCAAGATTTGTGTGTAAAACTGTCAAAGCCAGTAAGAGCAGAAGAGGCCAGCAGAACCCTCCCACAGGCTCTGCTTCCCTTTGAGGACTAGACACAATGCATCTAGAAGCAGCATCTAGAAAAGGGCCCTTCATGTGGTCTCCACTGGGGTCCAGGATTCCTCTGAAAGCTTGGTAAAACTTTGTGCTCATGGTATTTTTCTTGGGAGAAGGTCATAGTTTTCATTGGATTCTCAAAGGTGTTCATGACTAAAAGAGAGTGAAGAGTAAGATTAGCAAGAACATGCTGCAGCATGTGGTTAGGGGCCAACCTGTCACTCACTTTCTGATGCCCGGTAAGGTGCTCCTCTTTTCTGGGGCTCCAGCCTCCTCATTGTTGTACGGTGGGGGGTTACAAGAAATGATTCCTAATTTCCCTTCCAACTCTAAAACACCAAGACAAAGGGAAGTAGAAAACACTCCTGCTCACAACAATCCTCAGGTTTCCAAAGCCTTGGTCTTTCAAACTCTGGAGAAGCATGAGGTCCCCAGGCCCTGAGGACCCAGCATACGACTAGTTCCCCATGGTTGTGTCAGATTCATCCCTCTTAAATCATGATCACATTCAGCTGCAAGAAGATGTGACTGACCACTCTCTGTTAGTGCTTATTTTGTTACCAACTTTCCTAATTAAAAACAAAAAAAATTACAAAACAGCCTTATTGTCAAAGGTAACCTTACGCTTAAATTTACATGAGTAGCCACAGAATCTTCAGGACAACATCAGGTAGTTAATTATGAAGTTATTTTGAAATACTAGCATCCTCCCTCCTCCCAAAAACCCAACCCCACTTATATTTATCATTTCAATGAATAAATAAAAGGTATTTTAATGCTTGTCTATGTTGAAATTGGGAGGGAAATATAACAGAGAAATAGAAGCCAGACCAATGTTAAGAGAAACATCTTCCTTCTCTACAGACCTTTTAAAAATAAGACTGATGTTCATCTATCTGGAATGACTCTAGTCTTTTTAAACAGAGAACAGAAAGAGACACTGAGGACTCTTTTACTCCTGTGGATTTCAGTATCAGACATCCTAAAGGGCCACAAAAACAGAAGTGAGATGAAAGAGGCTCTTCCCATGGACAAAACCACCAGCACCATTAATGATTTTAAGCAATACAAGTAAAGACACTCCTGTGGATTTCAGTATCAGACATCCTAAAGGGCCACAAAAACAGAAGTGAGATGAAAGTGGCTCTTCCCATGGACAAAACCACCAGCACCATTAATGATTTTAAGCAATACAAGTAAAGATTGATTGGTGGATTCTCCTGGCCACATCTGAGAAGACAATTATACCAATACTCTGAATATTCAACTTTGTCCTTGCATGTTTTTGAAGCCAAAACTTTCTGCCATTGCTTTTGAAAACTTATATTAAGGAATTTGCAGAATATTTTCAGTAAGAGAATGAACAGAGAACCGTTTTTGCCTTTCAATTTAAAAACATTTGCTGGTATTGTTTGAAATCATGACGCTCCAACATCTACCCATGTTCATGTTAAATCTGTAATCAGAGATTGTGATGTCGAAATATTGTCAATTTTCACTTAAAAACACAAAAATTGGACATGCTATACATTTCTTTTTGAAAATGTAGTCTGTATTATTTTCACCAATCAAAACACACATAATATATTTTATTATAAAACATTAGGCAATGTTACTTTTGAGATATGCAATCTGAAAGGTCACACCTGTATTTATTACCAGTATGAAATACTGGAGGAGTTACATTAAAAATTAACCAGATGAACTCATACGTCATTATCATGACTTATACAGCATTACATCTGGATTAAACCAGTTTCCTGTTCAGTGTTTCAAATAATGGACTCTAGGTATCAGCAAGGGGCCCTGCAGTGGGCTTTCTCCTTTCAGCACTGGGGCTCTGAGCTTTGCATTCCAAAGATAAGAACAGAGCCGTTTCCATCTCTAGGCCTAAAACTGATTCAATGTGCATAGCCAGTGTTTCTAGACTGCTCTCCTACTCTGATAGAATTCTGTCTGCTCTTCAGAACCTGCACTTGAAATTAAGACCTGGACAAAGGGGAAACAGTCATTTCCTTTTTGACTGAAAACTAAGCCAACAAATGAAACAAACCTAGTCCAAATTCCAGGATAACAATAAATTACCTGGTTTATAAAAATACATGTCCAAAATAGTTACTTCCAGGGTTGTGTACAAAATAAATTACAAAAATAAAATAGAAAAGATGAAAAAGTTGGGCACATTTTTGTTCTTTATGCAACATCAGCATTTATCCACAGAGATCAGTTTGAAACTATCTGCATTGCACCAGGACCCTGGCAAATCTAGGCTCAGGAGGGAGGACCCTAAAACTGGGGTGAGGTATTTCTACGGAGCTCGGTGTCCTGTCCTAGGTGCACTCTCCTCTACCTGACAGAAGATGGTCTTGCAGGAAACACATCACGGGCTCCATCCGTGACAACAGGCTTGCTGAATGCACAGAGGAATGAGTGAGCAGACAGCCAACCTGTGGGGCACCTTGCTCCACTTACAAGCATCTTCTCGTAAGTGGGACCCCAATGAGCCCTCATTATCAGCGTGCTGCATTTACATGGCATAGAGCAGATAGTGCATTTTTAAAACTCTCCCTTTTCTTTGTTTTTCCTTTTAAAGATAGATTTAGTAAATAAAGTCTTTTAAAAGAATGTGTATTAGAGAGAAGGCCATTTTAAGATGTTTATATATGTATAGTGATAACTTTCTTAACTATACCATCAGGCCTTCAAGGCTAAAAGAATCTCAAGCCATATAATAGGTGTTTCTGCATCAGTCCAAGTTAGTATTTCCATTTTGTACTTGAAAGTGTCTAAAAGACACAACATAAAACTATTTCTTATTTCAATATTAATTTTGCTCATCAAGGGTTCCAGTTTCCAGTGATAAGACCAACCAATAAGATACAACTGGTACAGAAGAGAATCATACATTTTAGATAATATTTATAATAACTTTCTTATCAAAGTTCCTCCTCAGAACACATTCTATAGAATGTTGACCAAATAGCTTCCAAGATAAGTGAACAAAAGATATGAATTGGTAACAAATTAAGCTCAAGGCAAAAAACATTATGAGCACAGGTAGCCAAAATGTGATCATCATAACTCCATTTCTGCAGTGACACTTGAATACTCAGTATCTTAATAAAGTTTGAATAATTTACATATCAAAAAGTCTGAAAGTATCAATTTCAGGTGAGCAGTTTTAAATCAGAAAATATTCAATAGTTAATTACTATTCGTTAGGGTATTTCCTTCATATCCCTCTGAAGAGTTTTCCCAGAAGTTTCATGGCTTTCCCTTAGACAAAGGAAATGCCTCCACAAAATGGAAAACAACAGCAAACAGGCATTCTGAATCAGCCTTGCCTCCTAAAACAGACCAAAGGGGGGTTTATCTGGTTTCTTTCAGTGAAAAAAGAAAATCGATTAAGAACATGGTATTGGCAAAGGGAAAGGCTGCCTTGTGAAATCACGAATTTCACCTGAATGACGGAAGGTAAGTAAAGAACCCAAGCCAGTCTCTGGTGAAGGAAGCACTTAGTAAATGATTACAATAATCTTTAGTGATCATTTTGTAAAATTCTATTCTAACATTAGGCAATGGATTCAAGAGTCTATTTGCCATAATATTATTGAGATGGAGTGTTATGTGCCTAATAAAGAAGGTGAAATTGTAGGTAGCAGTTTAAATAAGTCCAGAAGATTGAGAAAAAAGAGATAAGGTAGATAGGATTTCAAAGTTATATGTCTTAAGCAGCACAAAACTGAAAATTTTATCATGCAGTAAAGCTGAATGGACACTCGTCCCAGACTAGACAATGTAGAGAAAACAGAGTGTTCATATAAGTGTCTTGGTTTTAGCAGTGATAGTTTGCAGCCCCAAACATCACAAATTTAAGAAAAGCTATATTTTGTACTTATTAAATAGACTTAATTATATTCCTTCTGAAATACAAAAGATAGAATAAATAATACCATAAAAGGGGGTAAGATATAATATGGTGGCCAATTAACACACAAATTCTATTCTTTCTGGACAGACACCAAATTACTTAGGAGGATTAAGAGATAATTCTAGAAGCAGCACTACCTGGAAGATTATTTGGCATTTAAATACTGATTTCCAAAGTGCTAGATCAGCAAGTCCAAACAAGCATTTGTGGTCACATGCATATAAGTCCCAACAGTTACGGATGATGAGAAATTGTCACTACTATTACCACACGACTTCAAAAAAATTCATCTAATTGCTCACCTGAAATGATCTTGGACAAAATTGCTAAAAGTGTGGCTTGCACTTTTTTTCTTCAGACATAATCTGCTTCATTTTATAATCTAAGCAGGCAATCCTATAAGAACTGAGTAGGGGCAATGCATCGTGTTTCTTACATGCAGAACATGGAGTTTTTCTATTTGGTTCCATCAACTCCTAAGCATTTCAGGCTTGTGGAAGTGAAAGTTCCTTCACCGATGACAGGTTTGCTATTTCTAACTTATCATCGACAACCTTCAAGGGGTCCCGTCGAGGCATCAAGACTGCTGTCTGTGTCTGAGGCCAGTGTCTGCTCAGTGGACATGGATGAAATGTCATTGATAGATGACGACTGAGAAGGAGTGGCGTTGCTACTTACTGCTGCATCTGTGCTAAGAAAACCAAATATAATAAAATCTGAGGCACGACATTGCTGCAAATCCAGGCAAAGAGACGTCAGGCCATTTCTTGGCTCTGTCCTTTTGTAATTTCTCAATCCTAACTATTAGCATAAACAAGAAACTAGTCAACGGTACATTTTGAACTTTTCCTTGAGTCTTTCTTTAGGCCCAGAATCCCAAATATTCCTATGTCTTTCCCTGCAACATTCTCCATTTCTCCCCAGTGGCTGAATATATATGAGGTCATATATAATCATGTTAACCACTTAAGAAAGAAAATATCTACTGGTTTCAAACAGACCTTTAGGATAAAATTGCTAAATTTATCCTAAAACGCAGTATCACAAAAGGTTTAAGTCTAAATAGCATTCAAGTATCATCAGACATTTCAGTATAACATAAATACTAAGTCCAAGGAAAAAAGTATCAACCTTCAAAGAAATCTTCTCTGATTAAAAATATCTTCTGAAATAAAGACTGTGTACTAAAAAAAAAAAGAAAAAACATTTAGTGTCCTCTTGTACATTTTATTTTTGTTTTATGAATACAGAAAGCTGACATTTTAATCTTTTAAGGCAAATAAAACTATTCTATACTATCCATATTTTAGTCTGGTCTGAACAAAAGTAAAACATCCAGGCTCTCTGAAATCAGTGTCTGCAGTCTTAAATTTGTACTTTGTTAACAACCAGCACCTAAATGCTCACTGAAGTTATATAATGTCTAGATGCTTGACATATATATCATGTTGAATATAAAATTCAAGAATAAGAAGCTGCACAGTTTGCACTTCTGTGTGTGAGTGTGTGTACGTGCGCTTTCCAGTGGGAGTGGGAAAATAGAATTTAAGAGTTTCATTTAGTAAAGTTACATAGGTTAATGCAGTAACATCAGAGTCTCTCCTAACTGTACAATTACTTAGTCTTTTAGCTTCTATTGCTAGGTGGATCAAGTAGGATAAAGGGGAATTTATATGAACAATTTTCTGAAAAGAAAATCAAATTCCATTTTACCTAGGTTTGCATTAATTTTCTTTTTTAATGGGGAGGAATCAATACAAAGAGGGTAATGCACACTGAAAAGCTTTTAAATTCAATTTCCTCATCTGTAAATGGAGCTGATAGCAGTTGTTGCAAGGATGAAACAAGAATGTTTATAACACAGTTCAGTGCCTAGCACATCAGTAAAATGTTAGCAGCTGCCACCACAACCAGGACAAGCCAAGAGGGGGAACTGTTTCACACAAGGGGTTTTCAAATCCAATGCTGGTGAAGCTGGTGGTTAACACATTGCTGCCATTTATAAAAGTTGAATAGGGAAAGAAAACTATTATACAATCAAAGTATTAAAGCAATCACTAACCTGAAGGCTGATCTTTCACAACACCATTCTTGCTTCTTTCTTCCCAATCCATTACTTCTTTGTAAATAAGCTCTTCGAATAGAAATGCAAGTTAAAATACATCATCTGTTTCTCTGCATCTCTAAACTCTGCTTCCAAATCAATCGGAGCCACTCCAAGGGCATAGTGATATATTATTTTTTAATTGTGATATCCAGTCAATTCAGTAATGTAGTTTTCTATCTTTCAATGAAACTATTAAAGTAGTAAAAGACATAGGTCATTCTGAATCCACAGGAGGATTTACAAAGAGATGGAGGACTAGCAGAGTGGCTCTCACAGGACATTTTAAAGGACTGGATGTCCTTACTTGCATGTGAATGCATTTCTCTCTGTCATTACTTGTGGCTCTCCATATGTAACCAGCATCCACATGTGGGCTATGAACTCCTCCAGACTGGCCAGAAATGTATCCACAAACCTGTCTTTTCTTGTTATCAACTTTGGTTTTCCTCAACTTTCCTTTGTAAGAAAAACTAATTGCCTACTAAGGAAGTTATTAGGGGTTGCCAAAATTTTGGTATTTATGAACTAGCATTACCACATTGCAAGCATTTACTGAGGCCTGTGAGTGTGGCTGTGTGTACTACCCTGCTGAGCGCATGCAAGCACATGCAGGTAACGGGCACTGCCCACATCATCCTGATGATGGGCAGGACCTATCATCAGTGCTGACTTGCACTGTCCAGTTTCCCAGTTACTATTGATCTTGCTTTCTAATGAAAAAGTGTTAGTTCAGCCTCCCCTTTACAGGTTTAGTTTGCTGTGGGTTGTTTGGTCAATCTTACAGGAGGGTACTACAAAGAGTTTGTGGAAAAATAAAATGAAAAGATAATGCAAATCTTTCCATGAACTTTTTGAAATACCCTCATGGTGGTAATAATACCTATTTGTTTATTTTTGATCTCCAATTTCCCCCAAACTAGATTTTAAAAACAAATATACAACTACATGGCTAAAAATAGTGCAGAAGTTCACATGTCCTCCAGCTTGGCTCTCTCATGTCTGCTTGTACAGGCAACTTTGCAGGTAATGCGTGGCCTGTGACTTGGGGTTACTTGACAGTTTGCAACATGTTATCAAGACAAGCGTGATACAATTACTGAGTTCAATTTACAAACCAATATTTGATAATGTAAAATCATGTGAAGAAGCCCTTATTTTTCACTACTAAAGCAAATAATATGAATTCGTATATGTTCCTTTCTAATTATTTTATCTTCAAGTTCTTTTTCTACTAGAATGTGGGGAGAAAGAGGATAAGTGGGCTGCAGGGTCTCTTGCTCCTTTCTAAAGAGCAGTTGTTAAAAAATGAAAAGCCTCCACTTTATAGGATTGTAAAAAATGTCATAAGGATTAAAAGAAGCTCTGTCTTTACCTTTCCATTCTTCAATTGCATGTTCTCTTTCTTCCAACTGGGCATCGTAAATTTGAGGTGGTGGCTAAAAATTAAATTTCATGTAAAGTCAACAGTTCAAAAACTAATGAGGTATGAAAAAAGGTAAAATCACTTGGAAGATTTCTAGTCTTTTTATGATATGCACTTAGTTTCATTCAATACATGGTTTATTAAAGATTTCTGTCACAAGTGTGGTATTATATCAGTTGCAGAATAAAAATAATGAAGGAAAAATTAACCAAAGAAGGAAGCTATTAACAATCAACAATCACATAAACTCAAAACACTAAAGACATCTGCCCAAATGTAATTACAAAGTTAATAATCACAAGCAGTTTCTGTGAGATCCACCATGGATAAGGCACTGTGCTGGAAACTATGGAAGGTGCAGTTCTTTCTTAAAACATATTTCAGGTTTATGCTGCACGTTAGAACTCCCAAACCCAATCCCCAGCTCATAAATGGACTATTCCAAAAGTCTGCCTATAAATCAGATCCTTTTTATATAAAACAATGTTTAAAATGGTGGTTAAATCCATAGGCCAAGACATAAAAATGGCATGGAGTAAGTATGGCACTATGCTGTTATTTCATTTCCAGCTAAAGGTCATTCATACTGGTGTTGCCATGGAAACATGCACACCGGCACCAAACTCAGAGGGAAACTCCCTTGCGGGGGCAATGGAGATGGGGAAGGATGAACAAACTTGTGAAGTTGCTTAGTCTCTCTAAGTAAGAGGATGTAACCAAAGCCCATGGAACAGTACTAGGTACAAAACAGATGCTTAATAAATTATCATCACTTATCAGCATTTGCATAAATGAAGATAATTATGTCTCCTCAGCATAAACATGTTGACTGCCAAGGTACTCTGAGCTAGAGCTTCAACAGCAAGTACCCCTAAAGGGGTAGTGAAAAACCTTGACCTTTTTATAATCAGAAGCCCTAAAATCTAGAACTTGTTATCATTATGTAGCCATTCCAGACTAACAGACATAAAATCCAAGGAAATGTAAGCCCTGCCTCTGCATGTTAGTCTCCGCCACATAGCTACTTACCGCCTCTGCTTCAGCGGGGTCATACCAAACAGTAATGTATGGGTGGCGCAGAGCTTCATCCACAGAGATCCGCTTGTCCGGATCAATCACTAACATTTTTGACAACAGATCTCTGGCTTGACTTGCTAGGGTGAAAACAAATCTTACATTAATAAACTAATGTTGTTAATCTGAAACAAAGAAAACCACACAATAAAGAGCTAAATATGATTGACAGCACAGATAGAACAAAGATATACTAACTCTGAGAAATGTTTGACAGGTTCAATAGGGCTCCAAAACTTTGAAGAAAAAGGCAAGCAGCCACTTCCATGACAAAACAGGCTCTCCATGTGGTTTTATGTCTCTGTGAGGAGAGTGGTACAGGGAAAGGCAACAGGCAGCCTCAGACCAGTGTCTGGACAGGGCCAGATGCTGAGAAACCACGGCAGAGAGGGTGGCAAGGGCTGAGCTAAGGGTGGCACTGCCAAGAGTATGGGTGTGAGGCGTGGGTGTGTCTTTTTTCTCCATGTCACAGCAAAATGAAATTATAACACTTTTAAAACCATATAATAATCTCACATTCCCACAGTATAAAACACTTTGCAGATGCCTCTGCTTTGCCAGCTGTACACAATGTTGCCAGCTGTATACACGATTTTTTTTTTTAAACCTGGAGATTAGTAGTTAGGAAAAAAACCCAACAAATCTAATAACTTAGTTAAACATAAGACTCACCTACGTTTCAGCAATTCAAGTTCACAACATGTATACATAGGCAGAGGAGAGGTTGGGGTTTTTCTGACTAAGGCACAGTTTACATTGATGTGGAGAGAAACAAATTTATTCTTTTTCCTTAAGCAATCACATTTTAGTGAAGGGAGAAGGGTGAGCAGGACCTTTTTTACTGAACTGGTTTCTGACTCTAGAGTTTTTATTCAAGTGTTTTTTTATACCTGAGAACTTTTTGAATTCCAGTTACTATAATTCTAAGAGTATTTCAGACTGATTCGAATATTTTAACTTTGGCCAAAGGCTTCAGTTAAATTTTATTGAGGACAAAACTTCTAGGTCCTTAAGCTTTCTCTTTAAAAAAGATCAAACTTCTAGCCTGTAAGTGACTTTATTTCAGGATTTCAACTATTTTATCTTCTAACACTCACAGGTTTTTTTAGAATGCAAACATGGAAAAGTGAAACCTTCACTTGAATTATGAAAATAAGTATAAGAGCAAAAGGATCTCTTACTTTTTATTTTGTCTCGTTCAGATTCTGATGGGAATATCCAATCTGGAAAGAGTTCTTCAAATCTGATTCCAGGATACTTCGGTCTGTTTTCCACGTAATTCCTCACAGTTGGCTGAAGTTTCTTCATGAACTCTGCTGATGGTGTTCCTAGCTGCTCAATAACCTTATTCCATTGATCAATATCTAAGAGGTCTCTTGAGGAAAATACAACTGAAATGTCTATATTTATATTACAGGTAGTAGCATCATTCAAAGCATTTTGAAATAATATTTGAATAAATTTTGGGTTTCCAAGTTAGATGATTTTTAAAAACTTTTACACTCTGCATCTTTATAAACTATGATCACAGCTTATTAAATCAAAACAATGAGGTCTATATGCCTTCCCATTAGAGTTCAAAATAAAGCTATTTTTTAACTAATAATACCTATGACAAGTAATTAAACATGAAAATAGATAAAAATTAATAACAAATTGAAGTCAATTTTCATACTAAAGCTATCTTAGACTCACAGCTCTCTAAAGTAGAAAGGAACTTGAGAGATCTGTGGAGAGACCTGTCTGACCTCCTCAGTGTACAGCTGGGGGAACCAAAGGCCTGTGGAACACCCACTGGTGTGGCATGGTGAGGGAGAGGACAGGAATTGGGCTCTTAGCTTTATGAGCCCTCAGAGCAGTCCTTTCCCAAGGGACTGCATTCTTTCCTGCAACTAGGTTTAGACTGAGCAATGATGGCTTTGAGATGTCATCCTGCTTTACATGGCATTGACCCTCCCGGCCATCATTGCAATACCTGGGCAATGCATTTTATTTCTTTTCAAAGTATACGACCTGGGTTTTAGGGTCATCTGTGCACTAATCATAAGGTATCAGGAAAGTCAATCTTCCTTGGGGTCATGTTCCTTATTTATATAATGCAGACAATTCCAGCTTTGCCTATGTCACAGGCTTGGGATAACTGGGATAATATAAGTGCAAAGTGATATTGAAACTGTAGTCAACTATATAGGAGAATGCAAGCCAGAACAAATCATGTAAGCAACAGCTTAAAAAAGCGACCAACTGAGGCATATCTTAGAAAAATGAACTCACATCACCATGAAATAACCTAGGGAACAGACACATGTTCTTCAAAAATGTTACACCTCCGAAGACCTGCCCAGGAATAAGTTTCTGGCATTCAAATCTAGCAAATTCTAGCAAATTCTCCTTCTCCACTCATCTGTTTCAAACGTATTACCAAATCAAAATTTTGCCTACATTTAATTTACCTATTTAGCCAAAATGTGAAAACGATTTCACACTTTTCCTGCCTCTTTCTCCTTCTGACACCTCTTCCCCATGCTCACTCTACACTGTGAAAACTGAACCAATCACAAGAGAAGACCCACAGACTCCCAGTAGTGCCTCCCCCACCCCAGCATTTGTGCACCATTTTCCACTGAGGAAACCGTCTGGGATCCTGCTAAAGCCAAGCCCGCTTGGCTCTAGACCCCTGCCCTCTCGTCTACTCAAGGATGAACTCCCACAATTCCTTCTTCTTGCTCCTAAGTCATGAAAATTTTGCTCTCTACTGGAACATTCCATCACCATTCAAACATGATGTTTTTTTCTCCTGTGTTAACACAACAGCCACTTTCTTTTGACCTCCACATCCCCTGCTAGCTATCACTCCATTTCTTTACTCCTGTTTGCAGCAAAACTCCTTTAACAGCTGTCTATGCTTGTATCTCTAATTCCCAGCCTCTCATTCTCTCCTAAGCTTACTCTTAACAGGCCTTCTCCCCTGCTACTCCGTGAACACTGTGTTCGTCAAGGTTGCCAGGAGCCAGCACTAAATCCAGTGGTCACTTCTCAGTCCCTATCTTTTTTACAGAGTTAATGGGGCTGCCTCAGTAACTTTCTCTGGCCCTCCAGGGCCCCTCGCACTCTCAGAGGAGGGTGTCACTGCAAGTGCCTTCTCAACTCCGTTCCTTGTTTCTCTTTTCTCCACCAGCCCAGAGGGCTTAGTCTTTGGTGCTTTTCTCTTCCCTCTCTGCAAGCACTCTCTACCGTCTCAAGGCTTCAATGCTATCGACAGACTGACAACTCCCACATTTATTTCTCGATCTCGGACCTCCTGTCTCCTGAATTCCATGCTTCACATTTCCACTGTCTAAAAGACATCTCCAAATCCTCAAAAGGCTCTTTGAAGGGTTGACCTTCAAAGCAGATGCAGAGTTCAAGCCTTTCTCCCCACCTACACTCCTCCAGCCTGGTGCACTGGTCTCCTGCTCCTACCTTACCCTCAACTCAGCAGCTGGAGTGATCCTTTTAAAATCTAAGTCAGACCAGTAGCCTAGAAATGGGTGGGTGCTCAATATATATGTGCTGGATTAATGACAAAGCATTATTTTTATAGAGGACCAGGAGGTAGGAAAGAAAGAGATCTCAACAAGCCAGGTGGACCTTCAGGGTGTGCACAGACACTGTTGTCCTTTAACTCCCATGGCCCTGAGAGGCAGACCATAGGTCTCTCATTTTACAAAAGGGGTTTAAACCAAGGCTCAGAGACGCCCTGAATTTCTCACAGATGAACAGCTACCGTGTGGAGGAGTCCAAACTTAAGCCCAAGATGACCTGGATAAAGCTTTCTCATAGGCCATAGTCAGGCCACAAATATAAAGCAAATCTCTGAGAACCTCAGTCTGGTTTCTAGAACCTTTTGCTATGCCCCAAATTTTCAATCTAATGTTTGAAAAAGTTGGCAAAATTTTCTTTAGAAAATGATGTTAATCGCTGCATGAGTTTTGATTATAAAACCATTAATTACTGACATTGCATGTTAATATGTAAAGTAGAAATTTACTTACTAGAATGCACCAAAAAGTACCCACATTTTCCACTTTTGTACTTTTTGAAGAAAACAGTTCTTAATAAATAAAACAAGGAAAGGCACAAAATAAGTAAGAATTGAGAGAAACTGAACATGAAGTAGATACTTCTAAGTTATTAATCTGTAAAATACCTCAAATTTTCCCTTTTTAATTGAGTTTACTTGCAAAATAAAGACATCCTTATTTATAGTTTGAAACAAGTGAATCTGAAGTAAGGCTATGAAAAACTGCTACAAAAATTATTGGAACAAAGTAAAATGTTATATTTAACTTCACGTACATAATTTATGATGTGAAAAATGTAAAGGAAGATAAATAACAAAATGATAGAAATAAAATCTTTTCATTCCAAGTTTGTGTTGTGAAAAATTTATAAGGAAACAGCCCTCAAAATCATAAAAAAACTAAAATTACTTTCATAAAATACATGCAACACACTGACTAAAGAGCTTGATTTCTTTGAAAAGCAATCATCAATCTGCTAAGTGAGAGACCACTTTAAGCTTTCACAACAAAAAACAAAATCAAAGACTAATGAAAATACTAAGTGGTTAGAACACAAATGAAAAAGGGTACATTTGAAGAACCATGTCAGGGTGAAAAATATTAAAGATGGGAGAATGACTGTATGAGGAAAGAAAGCTATTATAACTACTATATTATCTATTCTTCTTTATGATATATTATTAATATAATTTGCTGACCACAGTATAAGTTAATCTTTTGCACTTTAACTTCCCCAGTGTGTCACAAAATAACCCTCTAGATGGATGTTTTTAAAATTTCTATGAAATGTCAGCAGAGTAACAAACAAGAAAATTTAATATATATTGTTCCTCACAAAATTTTCATTTTAACCTTTTTCACTTAGGTCTTATGTGGTGTACTTCAGTTTTCACTTTAAGGAAAAATGTTTTACATATCAATAACTAACAAAATAGTATGTTAATTAAATCACACAAGCATACTAGCCTAATTTAGGTAGCATTTTTCCTAGTTAAATTGATGGAATGAACTACATAAAACAGTATCTTTGTTTAAATATCAGAATACATTTATCAAAGAGTAAATAATTTCTTCTATATGTCCAGCTACTTTTGATAAATCTAAGAACTAATATGAGGGTACTTCAAAAAGTTCGTGGAAAAACAGAATTAAGAGATAATACAAATCTTTCCATGAGCTTTTTGAAGTGCCCTTGTGTAACTGATTTAACTCTAAGTCTCAATAAAATCATCACAGGTAGTCATGTAAAAAAGAAAATGTAAAACTGAACCCCTTGGATTGTGACACTAATTTAACAACCATAGTCAAGACCCCCTTGGAACACAGTCTAGAATTACAATAGTTTCTTTTTGAGCGTTCATGTGAGCAGGTGAGATCATGCTGCCTTTGGCATTTATGGAAAGCATAGCTGGGGTCAAGGTCCCGGGGAAGGATACGGTCAGTGCCTTGGAATATCACACAACCTTTCACCAGCTCTCCCATGATGCAACCCACTGACCAGATATCAACTGAAAATAAAATGAAATGATAAAATTATGAAGTGCCATGAACAAAACAAAGGTGAGGAAAAGGAATTCTAACAGTGTACTAAACACACAAATATGGAAAAATAAATTTCTAGCTAAGGGTGAACTTTTTACACAATATAAATGATTGCTGACCTCTATTTTAGCCTTCAGTTTGCAGCAATCTGGGGTTTTAGTGCCAAAGATTCCAATACTTTACAGCTTAAAAAAACAAACAAACAAACAAAAACCAGAAACAAGAAGTGCCTGTGAACACAAAGCGTTTCAGGGCCACATGCCCACCCCTGCCCCCAGCCTCCATGGCCAAGTACTGGGTCTCTCCCTGTGAAGGATACAGTCTCTTCCTGGGAACAGGACTTTATGGAGGACCATTTCTGCCATGATGCACCCGACAGACCAGATGTCCACTACCAAATACCAGGTGATTAAAAACCAGCTAGACAGCCCCACATCTCTTTTCTCCAAACCCCCTCCCAAATAGAGACAATCTCAGTAAACTTCACCAGCTTTATTGGTGGAAGCTTTTGGAAAATATTGACACTACACCTGAGTAATCATTTTCTAAACAGAAAAAAATCTTTTTGATGTGTCAAAAAGGCAGCAGTGCTCAGTGGGGAAATGGGCCCCATCGTGGTGGGCTTGCTCTGTGCGGCTCTTGGTGAGGCCCTGCCAGAGGTGCCCTGACTTCCACAGAGTCCACCCTCTTCTGTGGGGCCCCAGCTGAAGCCCGAGCCTCAGACAATGCAGGCAGAACTCTCTAAGTGCCCCTGCTGGTGGGGCGGGTGGGGAGAAGTTACCAGGCAATTTAATTTTCTCTCCCTTCCAAAGGAAGCCTGCAGAGCTGCGCCTCTCAGGGTGTGAGCACAGGTTACAAAGAATCTAAATAAACCTGAAGCAAAACTTGTTTCAGATGACTCAGGCAAACTTTCAGTCTTTTTTAACAAGTAAACGTGATTTAGGGCTGGCCGGCTCACTCCGTTTTTTGGAGTGCGGTGTTATCACCTGTATAATTTCTGGTACCAGCCAACGGCCAAAAAAAAAAATGTGATGTAGATCTTTTCAACAAATTTGTTAAGTTTTGATGTTAAAAAACACCAATTTTGGCCGGCCCAGTGGCGCACTGCTACAGTGCGCCGCTTGGGAGTGCGGCGACGCTCCCGCCGAGGGTTTGGATCCCACATACAGACCGGCCGCTCACTGGCTGAGCGAGGGGTGGGTGCAACACCGAGGGTTGTGATCCCGTTGCCGGTCCCGGTCCGGTACGGGCGCAACACTGAGGGTTGCGATCCGTTGCCGGTCACGAAAAAAGACAAAAAGACAGAAAAAAAAAAACAAACCACACCAATTTTGTTGCACCACTCCGTTTACACCAAGTTCAAAAGTATGTAAAAACCAATCTGTGGTGCTGGAAATTAGGATAATGACTACCCTTATAGGTCGAGACCTGGAGGGTGGGGGTGCATGGCGAGTTGCCGGGGGCTGCTGGTTATGTGGGTGTGCTCACATTGAGCTATATACTCAGGATTTGCATACTTTCCGATAAGTATGTTATACTTTGATAGAAAATTCAAAAATACTAATTTTAAAAGTGAATTTTTAAAAGTGAATGATTGTAACCAATGGAAATACAAAATTAATTATTTCATATCTGTGGACCATGATAATCTACGTACAACAGTCCCCACGTTATACTTCATACAGTTCAAAGAAAAGAGAAAAAACTAGAGACCTCTAGCACTATTTTTAAACAGCACAGCCTCTTCCAGTCTTGTCTGTACTCACCGTTCTCTTTGTAGCCCATGCCCAAGATGACTTCGGGTGCCCGATAATACCGCGTTACCACGTAGGGGGTCATCATGAAATTGGTGCATGCTGTCCGGGCCAGGCCAAAGTCAAGGATCTTAAGCGTGCAGTCTGATTTTACTACGATGTTACTAGGCTTCAAATCCTAGGAATGAAATGTTTTAAATTAATGTAATGAACCAAAGCATGCTCAGTAAACAATCTTACAGTGGTGAGGGTTTTGTGAAGTCAGTGACTACTGAAGTATGTGAGAGTGTAGAGATAGTTAGAATTGAACTCTGGGAGCTTGGAAAATCCTACTCTCAAATTGGAACTAATACAAATCAGCCTAAGGAGATCAGATGGTCCTCTTAACTCTCAGTGGAAACCTACATGACTCTCCTTTGCTTAATATCTTCTGAGAGCTTCCACACTCCTGACTATGGCCTCCCAGGCCCTGCAGGCTGCCCTGCCCCTCTGTCCTCATGTCCTCCTCATTCCTCCCCCGCTCCATGCCTGCTCTTCCTTCAGCTGACTCCAACACTCCAGTTCTCCCTCCCCCACCATCCTCCAAGGTCCTCACTCAGTCCAGAGCAGCTCTGTTCAATAGAAATAAAATGCAAACCATGTGTATAGTTTACATTTTCTAGTAGCCATGTTAAAAAGCATAAACAGAAACAGATGAAATTAATTTTAATAATATATTTTATTTAACCCAATATATCCATAGTATATCACTAAAAATGTAACCAACATAAAAAATTATTAATGAGATATTTTACATTATTTTTTGGTACTTTTTTTTTGGTACTGAGTCTTTGAAGTCCAGTGTGTACTTTACAATTATAGTCACATTCTGAATGCTCAATAGCTTCATGTGGTTAGTGGCTACCATACTGGACAGCTAAGATCTAGAATTTTCTGACCCTGGAATCTTCCCATGGCTCTTTGTCTCCTTGGAAGAGGAACTCCATGATCACCAATCTCAACTCCCTTACTACCCCCCACCATGGACTCACCTCTACTTAACACACCACCTGTGTCACTGTCTCCACAAATGGCACATAGCACAAATGAAGTCACCTGCTCATTTTTTGGTTCCCATCTGTCTTCCCTTCTGCAATGCTGACTCTGTGAGAGCAAGGTCCTAACTGTGCTCTCAGTACTCAGGAGCAGGACTGGCACAAGCAAACTCTCAGAAAATGTTTCTTGGATGAACACATTTGCTATACTCCACCACACTTTCTTCATGCTGATCCCCCACACCCCAGAACCTTCCTCAGGCCACAGGAATTTGACCTTTGCCTCGGGACTCTAGCTTGCAAACTCACCCCAGAAACTGTGACTTTTAAAACAATTCACATCTATTCTTTTCACAAGAGTATTCAAATGTGTAGTTGCAATGTCAAATGGACACATCACTGCCACATGGTAGAACCTGGCAGTACTTTAAGTGTGAAGTTTCACACTTAAAACTGTCCAGCACCTGACTTTAAAACTTCCCAACTGAAAGGCTGCAAATGGGTTGCAGGTGTGCTTCCAGACAGTGAAGGCTGTGAAGTTGTTATCAGGATAAGCAGAAAACCACTTGAAAATTTACAACAGCTGCAATTATGTGTCAATACTGTTGAATGCTCTTTCCAAACTTCCTGGATACAGTAAAATTTAAATTATAAATATATAATGTTTAAAGATGCAATGGCAATCTCTCCTGGGTCCCATACAGAGTCCCCCCCAACCCCTCCAGTCCACCTCAGGGTACTGTACAAATATCCCCATTTCCTACAGTGTCCTGGGGTGGAGAAGGCTGGGCCTCCCTTTTCATGCATCTGCTATTCTGCATAAAGCAAAGTTAGGAAAGAAGCTGCCCTAAACTCCACTCAGGGGCTCTTCTCCTCTACTAGGAGTCGGTAATACAGCTAAGACCAAATGAACCAATTTTTTTCTAGTTTCCTTTTTTAAAACTAGAGAATATGACAAGCATAGGCATTTTAGAATACAAATTACTAATAGGTAAAATAATGCTCAACCTCACAAAATTTAAAAAAAAATCAAAACAATGAGGAACCATTTTTAGTCTATCATATGGCAATGACAAAAAGAATAGTAATGTCCAGTGTTGGTGAGAGAAAGAGACCCTTCCTTACCTGTCAGTGGGGACATCAAGAGGTGCTTTCACTTTAGGTAGCTAAGTTTTAAAAAGATTGAAATGTATATACTTTAGCACCCAGCAGTCCCTGAAATCCAACCTTGCTAGAACAGCACGGCCACATGAACAAGGATGTTTAGAGCAGCACTGGTCCTACTGAGGACAAACAGCAATGGTGGGAAGCATCTCAGCAGGCCACCTGCCAGCCTGATGAGCCCCCAGTGAGCCAGAAAACATGTTCATCTCAAGACACTACCTGTCAGAAAACTGTCACCATAAACTATTGGAATAACACACTTTACTGCCATCTGCTGGAAAACTCTGATAATGAAATACAAATCTGG